TGAGTCGTTAGACAACAAACACCGAACGCCAGCAATGTAATTAACGTACAGCAGTTGTTTGAATTGTGCTTACCGTATTTTCCGGACTATAAGTCGCTCCTGAGTATAAGTCGCATCAGCCAATAAATGCGTCGTGAAGAGGAAAAAAACGTATATAGGTCGCACCGGACTATAAGTCGTATTTATTCAGATATTTATTTTCAAATCCAAGCCAATAACAGACATTTACGGTAAACTGGAAAGGGAAGTTATTAACTACACAGGTCCGGTATGTTAACGCAACACATACCTTCTACCTGGAGGCTGGCTCTGCGAGTCGGGCTAGGGTGGCATGCTTCTACCCCTTGACGCGCTCCGACGGAGGACTGCTGGGACAGACGGGGCATCTCGGACGCACCCACTGAGCATTCGGCNATGTTTACAACCAAGAACCCGAATACCAGGACATTGTGAGACTTGCTTGTCTACATCGGAGATATATTCCTGTGTAGATTACACACAGGGTCAGGTTTCGGGTAGAATCTAGTCAACCGACCGCTGTCAACCGTTGGAACAACCTCGGCATAGTGTAATCTTCCTTGTAACATATTGTTAATGTCCTAAATTGGGTACTACGAGTCCGGAGAAGTAAGTGTAGGACTTGTGTATCTGTCTGCCAACTAACCTCTTACAATAAGACAAACGTTACACACGTCGAAACGTCAAACCGCAAAACGACTATGACATCGTGTAGTGAATAACACAATACAGTGTCCGGATGATAGCAGTTCTGTGCGAGGAATCTACAACGTCCGTTTTGCAAGGTGGAAACAATTGTACTTAGTGTAAATTTCCTTGTAAAATAGTCTTCTTGGCGAAGACAAGTGAGATCTTCCGCGAGTTATTGTAGGAGTCTCTGTAAGGACTTACAATCGTCAATTTTGCGAATACAGAATCAATTTGGAAGTTTGGAATATCCTTGTAATAAGCAAATTAGTTTTTTGTAGGATTTTTCCATAAATTGTAGTCTAATTTACAAAGAAATTTTGGGAATACATCTTGGATGATCCATTGCATCGGTTTCGATACACTCTTGCACGGCGCGATCACCCCTCACTTAATAACTACTTTGCAATCCGGAGGGTAGTGTAACTGAATTGTAGTGTAGTGACACATATAGTGGTTAAGTTTGTATAAAATTTTCAACTTCGTTTGGTCACGGTGTGTCGAGACACTTTACAACCTTAAATAAATTAGTAAATCATTTTTGATTGCAAGTATAAAGAGAAAACTAATATTATAACTGTAAGTTTTGTTTCGTGAGAACCGTGAATGGTGTATGTAAAATTTACGAATATTGTGGCATTCAAAAGTATCTATGGATATAGAGGCAGTATTAGCCAACAAATTCACTTGCGCGGCTGAAACACACTACCGTTTACGCGCCGAGTGTTCGTAGCACCCCTGTCGTAAAAAGAGGAGAGGAAAGGGTCCAATTTGTTGAGTCACTGCAATAGCCTCACATTAGTGTTAATTTCGTCAGCTATTTTTTAATTTTAGTTTTAGTATTAGTCCTGTGTTAAATTTCCTTTTTAGTTTTAGTCATATTTAGTCACCTTCATCCTGTTTTTATTTAGTCAAGTTTTAGTCGACTAAAAGTCTGAGCATTTTAGTCTTATTTTAGTCGACTAAAACAGTAAATATTTTAGTCAAGATTTAGTCGACTAAAAGTCTGAGCATTTTAGTCATATTTTAGTCAAAGAAAACGAATTATTTTAGTCTACTTTTTGTCAATGAAAACTGTTGAGTCTTTTTTAGTCATCAGATTATATAGAACATTTCAGTCAAACTAGTCTAGCCAAAACCAATAATTTGTCATTTTAGTCAAATTTATTTCACAATAAGATTATATATTGTCCTTATTTGATGAAAAACACAGGTTGATTAAGAATGCAGCTTTGCAGAGAGTATCAGGTCAGGTTGGTTATGGTGTTTTTACCAGCTGTGTTACGGCCACATTGCTTCCCTTCTGATAAAACAATGCATTCGCTTTTTTCCTCCGCCTCATGGTAGTGAACATGGGCTCAAATATCACATAGTTTCTTTCTCCCAAGCAGTGGTGGCTTTAGACTTTTTCGTTGTCAGTCATTTTGACGGACAGGATTGTAACATTTCCGTCATAATCCATTATTACCCGTCGAGTGCACAATTTATCACTCACTCGCGCTGACGAG